GAGGTGGCGGAGGGAGGCAGTGTAGCAGTGGCGCCAGTGGCTACACGGCTGAGGGGCAGCAGAAAGGCAGCGGTGCTGAGGCAGCATCTCCTACCGAGCGTGCAGCTGTTAGAAAGGCACGAACCATCTTCGCTGCACAGAGACGTCCAGACAAGCAGGAAGGGGGCCTCAAAACCATCCCGCCACCCACTGCAGCGGCGGATAGAAACCGGGTTCTACAGGCTGAAACCATCAGTCGCAGAAGCAGCCCCTGGGCGGACGATTACCTGCTAATGCACACGAGGAGGGGGCTTTGCTTGGGAGAAAGCTGAGCCCAACCGGGCTCAGGCTTAGCTGCTAGGCAGTAGGAGGGCTAAGCTCTGACCTTGGGGACAGCCTACCTGGATCGTGGCCTCAGAGGTGGGGGAACCTTTACCTGGGAACCTGTGCCCCTGCCAGGGTCAGTCTCAGCTCGTGGATATGTATTAAAAGGCCGCCCGGTCTGCTGAGCCGTCTTCATCACCCCCTCGGAGACGGGGATGTTTGGAGTCCGGATATTGGGCCCGGAGAGTGGGCGCTTGTCTCGCGGGGACTGGGGGCTTTTCTCCCCAGTGTACGTGGATTTGGGTCTCTTGTCAGAGGGGTCATTCCGATCCCGCCTGACCACGCGGTCGGCTGGCTCACTGTAGTCCCTCTCCGCCACGTAGTCCTTCCTCCCATCCCGGTCATGGGCTCTGGGTCTGCCCTCCTTGGGGAGCTTGTGGTGCTCAGCGGGGGGCGGCCTGCTGCCAGGGTGCTTGGTTGCTTTGCCGCTGGGTTCCTGGCCACGGGGCTGCTGGGGGTGGGCCCGGTTCCTCTCCCTATCGTGATCCTGCTCGTTCCTGGCTTCATGGCGACTTCTCTCCTTGTGCTCCTTGTTCTTGTCCTCAAGGGGGCGGGCTTTGGCCGGGCCCTCGCTGAGGCCATTCTCTTGAAAGAGCTGGTCCTGGCGGGGCTGGAAGGGCGGGCTGTCCCGGCGCAGCGAGTTGGACCGGGTCACAGACATGTTCTCAAACTCATCCAGCAGCCAGGTCAGGGAGCCATCCTTGGCCGTTTTGTTCCCCCGCACGATGGTCTTCGTGGAGGTCACAGGATGGAAAACACAGACACACAGAAAAGAAAAAAAGGAAAAATGAAACGTGGGTGAATATGATGTGCCTGGTGGCGGCCACGCCGAGACATGACACCTGTGAGAAACACCAGGGGCAGGTTCTTAACAGCTCCACAGTGTCCAGTCTGCCAGCAAAGGCCGCTAACAGGGAAGCTGCTTGCTACAAACTGGGAGAAGACCCCCCCTGCTCGTTTCAGAGCTCGCTGCGAACCGGGACTAGAGCCATGCCCACCTTCGAGCCAGGCATTCTGCTGGGGGATGCACAGCCTTCCTTCCAATGGGGACCGCTGCCTTTTCACAGCAGGCTAGAAAAGCCTGAAGAGCGTAACACTCCCAAGCCCGCCTCCTCGAAATGCTGTGATCTCTGCTCATCCATGCAGGACGGGACTTCCCCACTTCCTCCTCCTCCACCGGAGGAGGGCACAGCCTTCCCCCTCTCACTGGGCGGCCCTGGCCTACCAACTCCAGCCAGGAGAGCAGACACTTGGCATGGCTATGAGTCAGCAGGCACTAGGCAGAGCCTCGCCCCATTCCCATTCTTGTTTGCATGTGCTCCTATCCTGTGTCCCTGGCAGCACACGCCTCCGCCACCAACTCCACGGGCTGCCCTGCGCCAAGCTGTTCTCCCTGCTTTCATCGCTCCGCTTCAGCTTCCTCACTGCCCACCTATCCGCTCGCCTGCCTCCCCGAGCTGTGGCTACCAGGAGCCCCCTTCCTGTATCTCACTGCCGCATCAGCCCACCCACAGGCCCAG